GCTAAAGAAACAGGAAGTCAACATCAGCTGAAGAAACAGGAAGTCAACATCAGCTAAAGAAACAGGAAGTCAACATCAGCTAAAGAAACAGGAAGTCAACATCAGCTGAAGAAACAGGAAGTCAACATCAGCTAAAGAAACAGGAAGTCAACATCAGCTAAAGAAACAGGAAGTCAACATCAGCTGAAGAAACAGGAAGTCAACATCAGCTAAAGAAACAGGAAGTCAACATCAGCTAAAGAAACAGGAAGTCAACATCAGCTGAAGAAACAGGAAGTCAACATCAGCTAAAGAAACAGGAAGTCAACATCAGCTAAAGAAACAGGAAGTCAACATCAGCTGAAGAAACAGGAAGTCAACTTCAGCTAAAGAAACCAGAACAAACAGTTTCTAATCGGCTGCTGGAAACAAACAGCTGAAACATTAAACTCTTATTTTGAAAGTTTTCTGTGCCGTTTCTCCTCCAGATAAGAAACTGTTTCAGGTTTTAGCTGATAGTTTGTGTTTTATTTTGAAAGGTTTGAGCAGAAGGATCAGCTTCCTGTTCAGTTTGTTATCAGCGAGGCGTGTCGAGGGCGTGAGGAGACACTCCTTTATCTTCAGCTCACAGCAGCTGCTTTATCAGCCGAAGGCGCCGTTAGCGGGTCTGACGGTTGAGGACCCTCACCTGTCTCTGGACCCCTCACCTGTCTCTGGACCCTCACCTGTCTCTGGACCCCTCACCTGTCTCTGGACTGCTCTGGTCCAGCAGCTTCACCATGCCCTCCCCCTGCATGGAGGTCCAGTGTTTGATGGGAGAGCCGCCCCCGATGCGGCTGTACTGCTCCTGGATCTTGGGCGTGCGGCGCTTGGCGATGAACGGGCCCAGCTTGCTGCAGAGACCAGAGACAACCAGACCCCATGAAGACCCTGGACCAGGGAGGGACAGAGGACCGGTCCACCAGTCCCCGTCTTTAGAACAGAGTTAGAGGCCGAAGGACAAATAACAGTGTGTGTGTGTGTGTGTGTGTGTGTGTGTGTGTGTGTGTGTGTGTGTGTGTGTGTGTGTGTGTGTGTG